CTATGTGTTCATTGTGTTGTGATCTGTCGCTAATCTTTGGGTGGATGGTTACAAGCTTGGATAAAAGAGAGGCTGGTGTTTAGAAAGTTGTCAGCTGACTTAAAACTTGTTGAATCTTTATGGCTTGGACTCAATCTACATGCCTGCTTTTAGTTTTTTCCCCTGCTTAATATTTGTGAGGGGATATCGGTAAATATTATACCACCAATATCATGATTTGAAACATTCCAATTAAAAAAGGAAGGATTGTCCATGAGGCAAGCTAGATAGGTGTTCCTTGGCTAAGACCTTTGCTAGTTACGATTCTTTGACGTGCACATAATTGTTGGTTTTGTTTTTACTAATTGACTTAGGAGACACTGAGTGTTTGCTTCTGTTATTCTGTAGATGCTGATATGGAGGACTATGGATTTGAGTACTCAGATGAGGAACAAGAGGAGCAAGATGTTGATATTGAGAATCAATATTACAATTCAAAAGGTACTTCCAACAACTATTATTACTTTTGCTTCTTGTTCGTTACAAGAAGTAACAGATAATTCCTAGCATTTATGAATTGGAACAAATTGGTTTTCTTTTGGGATTTTGGTGTTAGGTTCTAGAAATTAGATTGTGTTGAAACTACCTCGTTTGAATCAGTGTTCTATTGCTGGATTTTTCTGCCAAAAGTCAACTTTGATTCATTATCTTGTTGATATTGGTTTAATCATGCTACTATTCTTCCATTTGGAAATGAATTAAACAATATGTTGTTCAAATAATTTCTAATTTTTATAAATTTCTTTTGCATATTTGTAAGATTTGGGTTTTCATAATTTATAGTTCAAGGATGTTTGATCCATTTTTGGTACTGACTTCTGAGGATGTTGTTATTATGTTTATATATAGGTTTGGTAGAAACTGATCCAGAAGGTGCACTTTCTGGTTTTGCTGAGGTAGTGCGCATGGAACAAGAGAAGGCAGAATGGTAAGAATTTTATTCCTGTGTGCTGCATAATAAATAAGACATGGATGTTGGAGTTGGGGAACTTGAATGGTCATATAATTCTGTGTGCACTATATCCTAATTTATGTCATTATTAATTCCATGATCTGTTTTTTTTTTTTTTAATGAATCAATAATGTTTTTCTCTCCTTTTTCTTGGATCAAACAAGATTACCTTTAATAAATACAGCTAATGTGTTTGTCTCGTGTATTCCTTCCCTTGTTTCTTTTACTCATTCATTTAGTGCATAGTAATATTATGTCTTGAAATCATTCCAGTGATAATAAACCATTACTTATCATGTTTCATATTTATCTGACATTTTACCAGGGGCTTTAAAGCTCTAAAGCAAACTGTTAAGCTCTATTATAGACTTGGAAGGTATAAAGAGATGATGGAAGCCTACAGGGAGATGTTGACTTATATTAAGTCGGCAGTGACTCGTAACTATAGTGAAAAATGCATAAACAGCATTATGGACTATGTCTCCGGTTCAGCTAGCCAGAACTTTGGCCTTCTGCAGGAATTCTACCAGACTACTCTGAAAGCCCTTGAAGAAGCAAAGAATGAGGTTAATACATTTAGATTTATCTTTGGCTCATGGGATTTGTTATTATGCAATCTTATGTTTATTTTTATGTCATGTGTTTTACAGAGATTGTGGTTTAAGACAAATCTTAAGCTTTGTAAGATCTTCTTTGATATTGGGGAATATGGACGGATGAGTAAGGTAATTTTTTTTATTATTTTGTGCAATGATGTAGCTTGTTGTCCAAATTAGTTTGAATGTTTTCCTATTGGTATCCATTTGTAATGAGCAGTTTATTGATTTTGTTGAATCCTGTCAGATCTTGAAGGAACTTCACAAATCTTGTCAAAGGGAAGATGGTACGGATGACCATAAGAAAGGAACTCAACTTTTGGAGGTTTATGCAATAGAAATTCAAATGTACACAGAGACCAAGAACAACAAAAAACTCAAGGTCAGCATTTGTTTTAGAAAATAAATTTTGTTATCCAACTTGCATAAGAGTAATAATGTGCCTTTCCAATTTATTACGGCTTTTTCCTGCAATTTAGCTTTTAATTATTTACCAGACTTCTCTTGTTGCTTGTGGGATGAACTCAATTTATCAAATAACATCTTTTTGTTAGTTTATTCTATTCTATTAGAATTAAAAGTGTTTGTTTTTCCTTCAAGAATCTCCAAAGCATGGTTTGGGAAAAAGTTACATGAGGTGAACTTTTTGACCAAGACATGGTTTGGAGCTTTTCCAACTGAAAACTAAGCATGCACTAACTATATTTTACAAAGACATTTGTTATTGGGAGTTGAAATCAATGGAAGTGTTCTTGAGCAGAATCAAAGGTTGGATGAACATTTAGTGCTTTAGCTTTTATCTATAGTTCATCCAAACACAATAAAATATAACGACTAGTTTTTATTTTTTTTTATTTTTATTTTTTATACTTTTTCAAAACCCAGAAAATCACATACCATAAAACAATGTGGTGTGATATGCATCCCTCTAAATTAATCTTGTGCTAAAGGAAAGTTGTTTACCAGTATTTATCAAGTCTCCTTGGTATCAAATGCAGCAACTTTACCAGAAGGCACTCACTATTAAGTCAGCAATTCCCCATCCACGGATAATGGGAATAATCCATGAATGTGGGGGTAAAATGCATATGGCAGAGCGCCAGTGGGCTGAAGCAGCAACAGATTTTTTTGAAGCTTTTAAGAATTATGATGAAGCTGGGAATCAAAGACGTATCCAATGCTTGAAGTAAGCAACAAAAGCGTTGTTTTAGTTTTTTAATAAATTAGTTATTAATTTTAAACAATTTGCATCTATCTCTGCATTTCATGTTTGTTGATTACAAAAAAAATGCTGTTAACTATGAATCATCAATTTTGGCAGTAATTTTTATATGATATACTCGTCTTATGAAAACCATCGTTTCCTGAGAACAGCATTTAAGATTGACTATTGCAAAATAAAATAGTCAAGCAACTTTTTTTTTTTTTGTTTTTTTTTTTGTATTTAACTTGTAAATTGATTTCTATCATGTTTCAGGTACCTTGTTCTTGCCAACATGTTGATGGAGTCTGAAGTAAATCCTTTTGATGGGCAGGAGGCTAAGCCGTAAGTCCTCTGTCTTTAATTTATCTGAATAAACTACATTTTCCTCCCTTAAGAGATGCTAAAATTACATTCCCCTTCCCTCCTTTAAAGATCAATATGTGTATTGTTTAAATCCATTTTAATATAAATGAGTATTTTAGAGATTTCTTTTTCTTATCTGGTGATTCTCAACAAGATTAGTAGCTAGTTTCGAATATTTATTATCAGTTCTGTGACCTTCAAAGATGAAATGAAGATTTTGGATGAAATTTCAAAGCTAACAATAAACCGAATAAAAGTATTCAAAACTTCATTTTATCTTCTAAAATATTAAAATCAATAAGATATTTAAATTTAGTTATTTGTGACACTGAAAGTTGTAGAAAAAATTGAAATATCATTGGAATACACTTTCATTATTATTTTACTACTGTTAAAGAGATTTGCTTATGTCAAAAAGAATTAAAGTGTAATGTATATTTATCTCTTAGGGAGATGAGTGTAATTTACTTTTTAAGTGTACTTACTCGTTGTTCATGCTCTCATTATTTGGTCCTATTCCCTCCTTTCTGTTTTGACCCTCATTATGTATTACAGATACAAGAATGATCCTGAAATTTTGGCAATGACAAATTTGATAGCAGCCTATCAGCGGAATGAAATATTGGAATTTGAGAAAATCTTGAAGGTACTTTTATCAAGTGTAGCATGAGAATATGTCTGCACTAATTTTAAATTCAAGTATTTCTCTTTTCATCCAATATTTGTTGGAATTTGATATTGGGTAATTTTCTTTCCAGAGTAATAGAAAAACCATCATGGATGATCCATTTATCAGAAATTACATTGAGGATCTGCTAAAGAATATCAGAACTCAAGTCTTGCTGAAGCTCATCAAACCATATACAAGGATCAGGATCCCATTTATATCCAAGGTAATTGTACTCGCAATATGCTTCATTTCCGAGCTTTTCCTCTCTCCTAGCCCCCATCGTATAAATTAATGGAATATAAAAAGAAAATAAAGTCAAATGCACTTTGACAGCAACCATACCCTCTAGTCTCTGGAATAATGTTAGCTGGGCAAGCCTCTGTTTATTGTGAAGAGAATGAGCCATACATTATTCCGTGGACTCTTTCCTGCCTTTCTTTTTCCTCCCCTGCCCTGTTCAAATGGTCAAGCTAAAAGTTGCTATTTCTTTTTCCATTAAGTAGTAGTTGTTTATTTGTTGAGTTGATTTTACCCGGCACTTAAGTTACAGTTAGTCTAATAGTTTTTATGTAATAAAACCTATTGATTTTCAGGAACTGAATGTGCCTGAGCATGATGTTGAGCAGCTACTGGTATCACTTATTTTGGATAATAGAATTCAAGGACACATTGATCAAGTCAACCGGCTCTTGGAACGCTCTGATAGGTCAGTTTTTATGTTTAATCCTGTTTTACTGGATTTCGATTATTCATAATTGTTTGTATGAAACCTGGTAATTTTATTGATATTATTTTTATAAATACATTTTCAGGTCGAAAGGAATGAAAAAGTATACTGCCGTAGACAAATGGAACACACAACTCAAATCTCTCTATCAAACAATCAGCAACAGAGTTGGTTAAACGGTGGTGTCTGACGGGAGTTATCTGTTTTGTTGTCCCAGCTTGCAGTTTTGTCATGTGAATTAACGTAGCTTTTATGGAGAGTTAGTGATGTATTTTGCACCAATAGTGGAACCAAAGCGAGACCCAACTTGTGATTCATGTTCTATTTTATAATTGATGAAAGATTCGTGTTCTATTTTATAAAATATAATTGTTTGAAACATTCATGATTGATGATTCAAGGGGATTCCTCCTATTTTCTTTTAGTGCTGAATATAACTGCGCAGTACATTAAGGACTCCCCCCTCTTTAGTCATTAAAGATCAGGAGGCACACAAAACAGGTCCATATAAGAATCACCAGTCTTACACATAATTTATTAAAGATCAAGACAACGCAAAACAGGTCCATATGAATTACCACTCATACATAATACATAATTTACATTAAATTTAGGTGCTTTCCTATTTCTAATCTTCATGTTTGGACCACCTCTATTGGCTCGGAACCTTCGTTTAATTCCACCCCTTTTACACCTTTGTCTTCATTGGTACCATTGACTTCTAGCTTGCTCCCATTCTCTGACTTCTTTTCTTCTTGCTCACAAACTGAGACGCCAACATCGGTAATCCAATTTCTCAATTGACTGGTGGACGCTTCATCTGTTTGCGATACAAGGAAAGTTCAGCTTCTAGTTTAAAAGGCATAACCAACAAGCAGAGAGTAATAGCATACCTAATCGAGGGACAGTGTGACCTTGGGGATGCCTTATTATAAGGGGTTTGTCAAATGCAGATGCAAGATCCTCAGAGGGCAGTTTCAGCCAATCTTTCTCCCCAATGAAGTGAACAGATTTAGCTTTGATGGGGTCTTTGTAAGCAACATCACATATGCTAGGATCTCTGAATTTGCTTCCTGAGATTGATATGAAAAACTTAATGGGTGGATGCTCCTTAAGCACCTTTCCCTGTTAATTTCATGTCCATCGGTCAGAATTTTGTAGTTCAATTTAAATTACAAGTCAAGTTATATTAATTACTTGCCTGAGCCTGGTAACCTATCAAAAGTGCTGAAAGAGTTGCGCCCTGATTTACATAATGAAGGGAAAAAGCTGAGTCGAATAGTAGTTATACATATGATAGGAATATACACTAGAAAAATTCACAAGTGGTTGACTTCTAGAGCAATTATGAATGTTTACCTGTGAGAAGCCAAGGAAGCCATCAAAGGGACCATTGGTAGTAATGTATTCACATAAATATGAGATGCATTCTTCTAGGTTAAAGTACACTGTGAAGTCCTGAGCAAGATTTGTGTATATGTTCAGTAAATTTCAATCGCATTTCCTCTAAAAGCAAGGGTAGTGAAGTTTGATAATTTCATTAGTACTACTACTACTACATAATCAGCCAAATCTGAAACGAAAGAGGATATAGTATTTCTACCTTTTCGAATTGAAACCACTCATAGTAAGGTGGAGGAAAGATGCCTTCTATGTCAGACTTCCCTCCAGCAGGATATTTACCGTTTGGGAATTCCTGTCACAATTAAACAGTTCAGATATTTTGCTAAAGCAAGTTAAAATCTCTACTAACAAGGTTAAAAGTGCTTAATGCATACACTTGAACATTTAAAAAATAAGATAAATTGACATTTATTACCAAATCAAATTGAGCGAATAGAGAAGGATCCCATTTGCTGATTTGCTTTTTAAGAAAACTTCCACTGGTTCTGAATCCATGGAGGCACAGAATTTTGGGCTTCTTTAAAATTTGTCCTTCCATTTTTCTCTGTCTTCCTAGCTGTGACTCACAAGCTAAGAAATTTGATCTATTTGTAGGAATTAAATGAAAGTAGAGACTATTCCCACCTACCTCTATTTATTTAATGTATTCCAACAACCCTCTTATTTGACTTTGCTAGTTGGTATTGCTATTGCACGTGCATGCCTCCCACTAATGCGTACTGGGTTGCTACATATACCAGGCCTTTTCGGGACTGCATGACTTTTATCTGACTTTTACTTTTAGCACCTCTTTTCTTTTTATTTTTATTTTTTCCATGCATTAAACATATCTTCTAATCATAGTCAATGACTATTTTCTTTTCCAAACCAGATAAGAGTTTTCTCCCTCTTAACAAAGTGATTTAGAAATTACTTTCGGAATTCAAAAGTGATTCTCTTTTAAAAATTTAATCATAAATTTTGTTTCACAATGTGTTAAATTGTCTTTAAGAAGTGATAAATCTTTTAACTAATTAGAGTGCATGTTTTATATTATTTATTTCTCTTAATTAATACTTACATTTCTTTTAAGTAATTAGAATATATGTTTTATAAATAATTTATAGTTAATGCATTATATCAAATTAAAAGAACACATTTTAATTAAGATATCTTAAGCTAAAATAACTAATATATGAAATAATATGAATTGACTCCAATATAAAAGAATAAATAATTATTCTAAGTTGAGTTTTATAAATAAGAATAAAAGTAGTAACACATTAATAAAATTAAATTAAAAGACTAATATTTTAATCATATTTTTAAAATATTGTAAAAAATATTTAATAATAAATTAATCAACAAAATTTTTATATAAAAAAAATCCCGTGTAAGACACGGATGAACTTGCTAGTTATTAAGAAAAGAACAAACTCATTTATCTATATAAGCGTTCCAATTGTATTACACAGGAATTATAGTTGTGTATTGCAAGGTATGAATATTAATTTTTATATAATTAAAATTTAGCTTATTTTACTTTTTTTCCACCTTAAAAGTACGGTTAAAAAGTTATTCAAACTAGCTAACACTTATAAATGGTAAAAACTAGCGTAAATTCTAATCGATTTATAACGTTTAAATTACGTTGTTATTAAAAAAAATATATTTTTGATTATTAAAATAATATTTAATTAACATAAATCATGAGTATATATTAATTTTTTTATTATTAGTTCTGATACACTATATAGATCATGATTATGAAATAAAATTAAATTGTTATTGAAAAATACATTTTTTTGAGTTTGAAATTTGATTCATATATATATATATATATATATATATATATTTATTTATTTATTTTGTGAAATTAATTATGAAGAGTTAAATTTAAATAATTAACATGATATTATTTTAACTTAATATCACATATTTTAAGTATTTAATTGCAATAAAGCTTATTATTAAGAGCTTTGGTTGCGTTTAATAATTATATTCAATCTCGAATGAGGTGAATTAAATTCAAAGAATTAAAACTTTGTAATTATGAAAATTAGAAGGGGTAGCTATTTTTTCCACCCAATGATTTTTTTAGTTGAATATTATTTTAATTGAAGTACAGAGTCATTTGATTCAATCAATGAGTTACCAGCCAAATTGGTTGAATTGCATACGTATTTAAGTTAGTAATAAATATAATAATAAAAATAATTAAATATAACTTTGTCTGAATGTTTTACAAAACTAATTAAACTCATTAGGACATCTTCAATGCAAGCAACTCATTTGAGTTGCTTCATACATTAAAAAATAAAAAAAGTAGTTCTTAGTGTGTCATGTCAGTATTAAGCAATTCAAACTCAAATTTACTCCAATAGTAAGAAACTTTTAAGAAATTCAACTTTTAAAATTTTTTTTAATCATTTATGAATTAAATTTAAATTTTTATTAAAAAAGATAATTATACTATAATGAAAGAAAATAAATTACGATAAAAAATACATAATAAGTAGATATTAAAAATAAAATAAAGCAATAGTAAATACATAAACATTATACGAAATTAATTTTTATCATTATTATTTTCGAAACGTTCTCAAATATATTCAATAAAATCTGCTTGAAATCTGGTAAGGAACTGTTGCTTGAGAAAATAACTCCTCTCTCTTCTTCAAGCAACTCATGTTGCCATGTGAGAATCTTCCAATGATAAGAAATCGGGACTTGAATTGCTTCATGCGACAAACAACTCCCATTAGAGTTGCTCTTAAGATGGTATTAATTTACACCACTTCAAACCAGTTTAAAGCCACTCAAATTGATTGCTGATCCAGTTCATCAATTTAAATTTAAAGATTTTATCAAATGATTTATTTATTTATTTTTCTATCCATTCAAGTCAATGTTGGGGTTATGGTTTAATTGTCTATGTTTAGTTATAAAGATTAAAAAAAAAACAAAAAACTATGAAGCTAACATCATAACACATTGATGGATAACAACGTAACGTGCTTCTGTTCTCCAGTTCTGTATTGGATTAATAAACTAAAATTTCCCTCACAAATCTTACCATTAGCTATAGAAATGTCAATAAAAATAATGGCGGAAATTTTTTGGTGTATGATGGGAATCGGAAATTATTAAAGTAGCATATTGATTTCATAATTAAAAATTGACCAAAAACGTTTAATTTTTTTATTTTTTATTTTATTTTCATGGACATGTGATACATACATTGTTTTAAACAGTAATATGTATTTGTAGTGAGAAATATTATTTTTAAGAGTTAATCATCTATACATTATCAGTATAAAAAAAATTTACACTAACAACTAATTATATTTTTTTAGTAATGACATGACACAATTAAAAAATATAATTAATTATAGTGTAAAAATTTTTTTACACTAATAATATATAGATAATTAACTCTTATTTTAATATATATAAATCTTATAAATTCACGTATAAACAATTTAAAATTTAATATACTACACATTTAAAAGAGGTTTGGAGGAATTAAGGTTAGTCAGAGAAGGAAGGCGACAACACAACGGAAACGGACAACCAGCCCAGAGGCCAGAGCCTGAGCATCTTTCCAGTACAAAATTCTCTGTTTTCTTCATTATATTCATTCTATATATAATAAATTAGAATAACAAATCAAATAGTATCTTTTCACATGTTTCTTTGCTGATCACATTTTTAGTTCTTTTTTATTGATATGTAATTTTAGTTTACTTATTTTAAAATAAAAATATTTATTATTATTTTTAAATGTAAAATCTGATCTTTTTATTATATTAATATCTATTTATCATTAAATGTTAATATTTATTTATATATAAATAATGTGACATTTAATAATATGATATTTAAAAATAAAAATATTTAAAATGTGTAAATATATTTTTATTAATAAAATAGATAATAATCAGTCGTAACATAAATATAAATATAGATATTTTATTTGTTATTTTCATTTTTATATATTACGTCATTAAATATTATATTATTTAAATAGTGCCAAATTATTGTATAACATTCAAATTTAATGATATTTTAAAATAAAGGGATTAAAATTACATATTCATAAAAATAGATGGACAAAAAATATAATTTAGTCTTATTTTTTTAATTAAAACATTTTTTTATATTTTTTTCTTTAATATATTATTTTAAATAATATATTAGTTTCATCTATTGATGAAAAAAAATATTTTTAATTAAATTAATATTATTTTAAAATAAATTATTAATAACAATTTCTTTATATCTTTATCAATAAAATAATAATATTTTTAGGAGTTTATGTTAATTTTTTTTATCTAGTTTAATTTATTATTCTCATTTTTTAGGAAAATAAATTTTAATACAATTTTTTATCTAGTTTAATTATTTATTATAAAATTAAAATATAATTTATATGGTCAAAAGTAATTATTTATTACAAATTTATATGAAAAAGTATTTGTGTTAAAATTTTTATATTACACCGACTAAATTACTTGTTGATAATCAAATTAAAATGATACTATTTTAATTAAGAGCTATTTCATCCGTAGGTTCTTGAACTTTTTATTTTCTTTTTCTTTTAAACTGATCTCTAAACTCTAAAAATTTGTAATGGTTTATTAAAGACTTTTTTATAAGCCATTAACTTTCCCATAAATTTTTTTTATTTCTTCATGATATCACGAGCCTAATTACAAAAGATGAAAAGTATTAGTGACATAATTACAAATTTTATAATTTATAAATCTATTTAAAAAAATTCAGCAACATATAAATATATTATCCTTAAGCAAAACTTTAGGGTGATTTGAAGTAATATTTACACGAGTAAAACCTTTATAAATAAACATATAATCTACCTTTTTAAATTTTTTTTAATCTTATTATCACTTTCATGATATGAACATTGCAAAAAGTACTTAAGAAACATACACACAATAAACACTCACGTAACCATTAGTTGTAGTAGTAATAATTAAATATTGTAATCATTATTATCACTTTTGTAACAATCTGATTTGATCCCTACAATATATAACATAACTACTAGTAGTAGAAACATCTAATTTAAGACTATAGATATATAAGTACTTGAACCTGTAATGTTACAAGTATATAAGGAAAATCAACTAAATAAATAGATGTAATATAAATACAGTAATCCAGTAATGTAAACTATACATCTTAAGTTACTAGTCAAGTAACTTCACTGTCTACACAAAAGTATCACTAATAGGGATGTTACTACTTATATAAGGAAGTATAGTACTAATGTCAATATAGAACAATTGGGTACGAGCCTACCACCACATTAACTAGCAAGTCTCTTATAGGATTAGCCCACCAATTACCCTCCAAATACAAGTATCTACTATATATAAAGTACAAGAACTCAAACTTATACAAGGTATGTACAATAAAAACTATGAGATTAAAAAGAGGAATCATACTCAATGCTCATATTAAGCATAAGTCTAAGAAGCACCTCCTCTATAAAAGCCTCCTAACCATGGACCTAGTTAAAGGCCCAATGGTCTTCAAGTGTGAGTTCTCCTATGGATCAACCTTCACCCTTCTTGGACTTACCTCTTCTAAAGGGATCCTTAGAGATTAGATTTCTATCAAGCATAGTACTAATGTCAAGCCACCACATTAACTAGTTTAACCAAGTCTCAAATGAGATTAGCCCATCGACTACCCTCCAAATACTATAACCTTCCGATATTCGATTAGGAACTAAATTCTCGACTTCGTACTTTATTTAGTTGGTCACTTATAATCAGTATAGTTCAATCTAGCCCCTATACTATGGTTGCTTCATACATGTGTGCCTCAACCTTGCCCACACACAGTACCAACAAAGTCCTAGAGGAGAACAACACAACATGCACTTCAAGGGTCAACTTCTCAAGAATGATTTTCAACAAATTTGGCACTCGGAGCACCACAACACAATATCCACATAGTGGGATATGCAACTTTTGAAAACATCTCCTCCAATTCTAAGTGGTCAACATAACAACTCATTATAGTTTTCAACATAATCAACACACAACTTTGCATCTCATAACTCAATCATCACAACACTTTTTCAACTCTAAAATCAACTAACATCTCAACAACACATAGTATATTCAACACACTACTCAACCAACATACAACAGGGTCAACACACAACTCACAACTCATATCTATTACTCAATTAACAACTCACAACTAAATCATCATATTCTATGTCATCTCTATAACTTATTCATCATACTATCATATAACAACTTAAATTAACAAGAAAACAACAATTCATCAACCATACCATCATGTTTGACTTCAATAACACGTTTGACACTATTCATCTTGCGTCTAGCGTCATCCAAGCAAGGAGTTCTCTTTCTCGCCCATGCCTAATGTTACACAACCTATGCCAAGCGTGACTAAGGTAAATGCCCCTGAGACATTATACTTGCCGTAGTAAAACACCATGCTCGACTCCATCTTAAGCAGAGATTTTTTGCTTGAGTATCGCTTAACGTCACCACCTCGATGCCTGACAAAATCTAGATAAAGAGCTTTGGCTTGACCATGTTAGGCGCCACATAACATTAGGCTCGGCATCGCCGAGTCACAGTGCAGACTCCAATGCCTAATGTCGTTCAATCACGCCCGATGTAGTTTCAACTCAGGATGAATCTTTCTCCTCACATCCGACGTCACTAATCCTACGCCTGACGTGATCGAGATAGAGAGCCTCAAATTAGAATAATGCTCGACACATTGAAGGTGCGCCCGACATAGTATCAGAGTTTTGCATTTGTAGAATTCGATTTGAGCCCAAAACTTACAATGCAACCAAAATCCAGCACATGCAACACCAAAAGGCAACTATATACATCACAACCAACTAAAAAACGTACACAAACTCAACATGCAACTACAAATCAACTCAATTCATCTCATTCTTCACAAGGGACCCAAAACCCCAAATTTCGCCTCAACCCACTTAACTTTGATCCAAACACACAACCACGAATTGAAATGAATTCATGCAACATACAACAAACTAGGGGTGAGTATAAAACTGAGACCCGAATCGAACCCGAAAAACTCGATAAAAAATATTACTTTTGGGTGGGTTCGGGCGGGTTTTATGGGTAAAGCGGGTTAAAATTTTGCTTTTATACGGGTTATATTGGGCAAGTTCGGTTTTGAATTTTTAAACTGCTAAAAATCGAATCCAACCGAAAATGAGATAAGTTTAGATTTTTATTATTTTTGTATAACTAAACAACAATGATCCAAACTCAAAAGTCTTTATTTCAAGTATAATATAACCATCAATTTGTAACTTATTTTTTTTCTTCTGTTTCTCATAACCTAGATGTTTCTTTTGTCTTTCCCTTCCTCATTCAACTTCTCAATACACTAGTCCATTTTTAGAGTGTTCTTTTTTGTTTCTTTCTTTGTCTTTCTTTTCCATCTTCCTATCTCCATTTTGAGTACAACTAGTGCAGTTGTAATTTCTTATGGGTTTTGTAATCTAACTTTAGATTTCTTTTGCATGTAACAATTATGAATTTTGTTATCTTTTGTTTTTGCTACTGTATTTTGTGAATGTTTCATCTACGAATCTACTTACATCATCTATTGTCACCTTCATTCTATTTTTTACACTATTTTAAAAATATTTTTTTACCGTTTTAAGCTACAACTTCGTTAAGATAACTTGGTCTACAAAAAACCTTAAACCCGATTGTACCCACTCGCTCAAATCCGAATCCGTTTCAACCCGAATCGCCTCAAACCGAAAGCTCAGTCGGTCGAATATGGGTCAAATTTTTCCAAAGTCGGTTTGCAATGGGTTGAACATTTTTCACCCGAACCTGACCAAACCCACCCGTTGCCCACCCCTACAACAAACATAACCATCAATGGCTCGACGACTCCACAAAAGAAAGAACCTAGCTTCCCTTACCTCGAGTAACTCGACCCCAAGGTAAAAGAAGAATGACCAGCTCCGCAATGAAATCAATGGTTTGGTTCGAGGTTTCCACCACCTGAATCATAACAATACATCTTAGAAGCGAATTAAGAAGAAAAAGGGAAGAATAAGTTTGTGGGGTCCTATTCAAATAAAAACTTTATATGCTCTTTCCTTCAATGTCAGACTAGGTGTTTGCCTAGAGAACTCTTTCTCAACACCATTGAGGCTCAAAAGGGATCCTTAGACCTCATGAGCCCCTAAACATAGACAACTCTATTTAATCATCATAAAATACTAGGACTAATACAACAATATCGCACTTATAGTGCTGCAACTCCTTTTGTACCTATATATAAGTAAAAATGTTTTAAATTTTTGGACTCAAATATAAGCAAACTTCAACTGAATCAACTTTATTTAATGTTCTTAATTCAAAAACATTCCTAAGATAATACATGGTCACTTTTTTTTTTTGGTAAAGAATGAAAACTAAAAACAGCAAACAACTCAAGACATAGAGTCTTTCCCTAACTGTAACAGGACAAACTCTGGAGGACTCCTCCAAAATACATTGGAACCTATGTTCCGTACACCCCAATTAGCCAGCGTATGTGCTACTGAATTTATCTCTCGAGGTATATGACTCACGTAAACAACCCAGTCCCTAGCTAGCAAGCGCTTAATTCGACGAATCACATCATAGTGATTATGCAGGTAATCCCTATCCATGGATCGCTCTTGAAACAGCATAGCAGCTCCTAGGCAATCACATTCGCACCTCACCTTCCGAAACCCACCTTCCCAACAACACGTTAAACCATCCTCCAAGGCCAATAACTCGGCACGTAACGCATCACCATGTAAAGTTCCACGCGAGAAACCCCCCCGCCACATACCTGTCCAATCTCGAATTGCGCCGCCCATCCCCATAGCATAAGATCCAGTCAACCAGCTCCCGTCCGTGTTGAGTTTGACCCACGGATGTTCCGGAGGCCTCCAACGGGTTGACTCATCCCCTAAGCACCTCTTCGCGTTATACACATTATTCTCCACCATAGACAGTGTGACCTTCCGACGAACCACCGAAATCGTCCAAGGCTCAGCGGTAAACAACATGTTATTTCTAAACCGCCAAACCCACCATAAAGTGATGGATAACTTAATAGCATCCTTATGCAAAATAATCCCTTTCAACCACTGGAAACAATCCATTACCGAGAAAGCCCATCCCACACTGAACCCACCAGACACCAGCACCTCTCGCGAAAACGGGCAATCACGAAGTGCATGTAAAATGGTTTCGTGAGGGCAAGAGCAACACGAGCATGTACCAGAGTCAGCCAACCTCCTATCAGCCCAAACCTGATTTGTTGGAAGGGCTGAATGAAGGCCTTGCCACAGAAAGAACTTAATCTTCTCAGGAATCTTCAACTTCCAGATCTTCTTCCACACTTCATCCCCCTCCGTTGACAGTACCGTGGTTAGAAAATGATACCCAGACGCCGCTGTGTAACATCCCGAGCTATCCCCCCTCCAAGCGAAATGATCCAGCCCCAAAGAAGAATTGACGATACTCAACTGTTGGACCGAATGTATCAGTTCCGTCGGGAGCGCAGTATACAAAGCAGTGAAGTTCCAAGCACCACTAACCCAGCAATCTGCAACTGTTTTGTTGGTGTCTGCAATATGGACGAATGGGACTTTCCCACACCAAAGCCCAGTACCTGACCAGTCCGTGTACCAAAGGGATGAGGCACCCGACCCCAGTTGAGGCACGAATCCCTCACGGAGATAAGGAAGGGCCTTTATAAGACTTGACCAGGCCGGTGAAGCACCCCGCCTATTTTGAGCACACAGTATCGAGTCTCCCTGTAGGTATAGATTGCTGAGGAGATGAACCCAAGGCTTCTGTGGAGTCGTAAGCAGATCCTAAACTAACTTCCCCAAGAGTGAAACATTCACCCTACGCGCTTCCCTAACACCAAGACCTCCGAACTCTGTGGGTTGCGTCACAACATCCCAACTCACTGGAGACCAGAACCGTGTGTTGTCAGAAGTTGCCCAGAGCATACGACGACAAGCTTGATCAATTCTAGTACACACTGCTTGAGGAAGCCACAGTGTTTGCATGCTATAAACTGGAATAAAGGAGGTGTTGGACTCCCCCAGACACAACTTCCCTGCCTTATTGAGAAGCTTTTACTTCCGATCCTCAAGTCTACGCTTAAGCTTATCCATAACATCATAAAAATCGGCGCACCTCGGCTGACCATGAGTCATGGGAACCCCCAAATACTTCCCTATTTGAGACGTGTGGCCGATCCCAAGCCAACCCTCCAGTATGTCGATCCTCCTTTGTGAAACCCTTCTTGAGCTCACAAACTTAGACTTAGATAAATTGACCCTCAATCCTGATGATCGCGAAAACTCCTCCAAAGTTGACGCCACCAAGCGGGCTTGATCCTCTGAAGCTTGACAGAACAGTAAAATATCATCAGCAAAGAAAAGATGTGAAAGCGGGAACGCCCCAGGGGAGAGCTTAAGCGGTTTCCAGCGACCCTCCTGGAGCAACTCAGAGATCCTAAGGGCTAGTCGCTCCATGCAGAAAACAAACAGATATGGGGATAAAGGGTCTCCCTGCCGAAGGCCACGGGACGGAACAAAGGACGGTAACTTGTTGCCATTCCAGAGGAGTGATATGGACGAATTCTTCAATCCCCACATGATAAGTTGGATTGTGATTGACGGAAACCCGAACTGCACCAGCGTAGCCTCCAAAAAATCCCACCCAACCCTATCATATGCCTTCTCAAGGTCAATTTTTAGAGCCAAAGAGCCCACACTTGAGCCCTCCTTCCGTACGAAATGGAAGGCTTCTTGAGCAATAATACTATGGTCACGCGTCCCCCTCCCGGGAATAAAGCTGCCCTGGAAAGGACCAATGATGCCTTGCAGGAAGGGTCTAAGACGAGCCACAAGTACTTTAGAAATAACCTTCCAAGCAACATTGCATAAACTGATTGGGCGAAATTCTTTGAGGCTAACTGGGTGGTCCACCTTCGGAATTAACACCATCTGTGTCTCTAAGAGTGAACTGTCCGAGAACCCCAAACGAAAGGCATCCCTCGCTGTACGCCATAGTTCATCTCCCACAATAGGCCAATACTGCTTGAAAAAGAACGGTTGAAAGCCATCCGTCCCTGGTGCCTTGAACGATTTCATGCTCATCACCGCCCAACGAACCTCCTCCTTTGTGACTGGGGCCGTTAAGGCAGATTGGGCTTCAACCCCCAGGCCAGGTGGAACCCCAGCTTGCATGTCTAGAAACCCTTGGTCGTTGTTAACCGAGAAAAGCTCCTTGTAGAACCTGACTGCTTCAGTTTTCATTACCTCAGGGTCCGTGTGCCAAGACCCATCAGGCAGAAACAAACCCTGAATTTTATTTCTCCGTCTTCGCACGAGAGTTTGAGCATGGAAGAAGGATGTATTTCGGTCCCCAAACTTCACCCACTTCTCTCTAGATTTCTGAAACCATAGATATTCCTTCTGAAGACAAGTTTCATCCAGCTCTGCTTGTATGGCCTTTTCTAAGTGCGACAGACTCTCCGAATCCCCTCTCTCAAGTTGTAGTTGTACCCCTTTGAGACGTCGTTCGAGAGCCTTCTTCCTAGTAAAGATGTTCCCAAACACTTCCTTATTGAACTTGATGGCGTCTACCTGAACAGCTTGTAGCCCATTAGCAAGGGTCGGCGTACTACGGCACCACGCCTCCCTAACAACTCGCTCAAAATCTTTATGAGTGGCCCATGCAGCTTGGAACCGAAAGGGTCGATCCTGAGACTTGTCCCTTGAGCCTTCGCGTCGCAGTAAAAGGGGGCAGTGGTCAGAGTAGACCCTGCACAGATTCTCCACATATGCTTCCGGAAACATTGCTTGCCACGCGACATTGCACACCGCACGATCTAAACGCTTCGCTATCACAACCCCACGTTGATTCCGATACCAAGTAAAACGAAGACCCTTAGCCCCCATGTCAAGAAGATTACAATCATTCAAAACCTCCATGAACTGTGATGCCCTGGCCATCGAGAATCGACCACCCCGACATTCCGTTGACATCATAATTTCATTGAAGTCCCCAAGCACTAACCATGGTCGCATAATCCGTCCCCCCAACTCTCGTAGATGATCCCAAACCTGTTGTCTGAGTCCCACTCGAGGATTAGCATAAACGGCGATACACACCCAGCTCTTGCTTCCTTCCACAACTGTAAACGATATGGCTTGAGAGTGAGCGGCAAACTCAGATAGATTAGCAGAGCAAGACATGGTCACTTTAAATTTATTTAACTACTTTTTTTAATCTGTGTGAAATTAATTATTTTACTTATTTATAGGTATAGAGAAGTACTAAATGTGGCTATTCTGTTATTTGCCATGAGTTGAATTCATTTATTTTCTTATGTTTTCAATGTAAATTAACCCTTAGTATTACTTTATTGAGAGTATTTTTGATACTAATAGATAAATCTAAGAGTGTATTTGGATGAAGAATCTAAATGAATTAATTTATTTTTTTAAAGAATTTCAAATTCCTTAGTATGAAATATTTTGTTTAGATGAAAAATTTATAAAAAAAATTTAAAATTTAAGTATTTGTAAATTTTTTAAAATAATATAATTTTAAAATTCTCCTAAAATTTTTTTTTTTTTTTTCACTTTTTGTCATATTCCCATATACTCTCTTTCAAGATTGACCTAGAATATATCAATAATTTTTTTAAAATTATTGAATATTCAAAGTTATTTTTAAAATTATTTAATATTATCTAATGTTATCTTTAAAAATATTAAATATTTAAAAATTGATTAATATTTAATTTTATAAATTTAAAATTTCAATATATACATATATTAAAATCAATTTTATTTATAGTGAAAATTAAATTGTCCCATCAAAATTTAAAATCTAAAATTAAAAAATTTGAATTAACTTATTCAAATAATTTATTTTAAAAATAATAAAAAAATAATTTTTATTTTTTTTTTTAATTTCTCATCTAATTACACCAGCAATAAAAATATAAAGTTGACTAATCTAATCAAAATCTAAATTCGACGTCCATCAATTAATTTGTTACATTGACTGCACTTAATTTCATCAATTTTTATATTAAACTTGTTAGGCTGTGTCTACAGAAATATATCACTGCTTTTATGAACTCTCACAGTGATAACAGATAAGGTTAGATATACTATCAATCAATCTGTCTTGTATGTCATATTCAAAACATGCACGCATTTTATGATTTTTTTTCAGAAAAAGATAAATGAAAGATTTAAAATGGGATCACTTTACCCTTTATGAACATGCAATATTAATTTCAATTTCAATTTCAAGAGTAAAACTTTTAACAAACTTAAATCTCGTAATCTAGTGAATATTTAACTTTTAATTAAAATTTATAATTCTTTTTTTCAATATATAGTAGTAATTTATTAAAATATGAGGGATATCATGAAGCTCAAAAATTCATGTTTTCTCATGATTGCAACATTAATATTTCGATATGTCTGAAACTGAAAGTACTACATAGGGACCAATAATGGGAAATGTCTAGTAGATCTAGATCTGAGTCCGAAGATTATTTATGACATTTTACGTATACGAATTAAGATTCACTTTATATTAATTAATTGAAATAGCTCAGACTACAACCTTGTTAAACAAATTAAATTAATCGATTTATTAAAAATAGAAGAAGAAACAAAACGGCGAAAATGTGAGGAATGAAAAGAAATGGAAAAAGAACGAAAGAAAGATGAAATTGAGTGAAAAGTAATGTTTGGTGGAGACGAAAGATAGGTGAAAAGAGATGGAAGTCATAAATTGA